ATAATAATCGATTCGCATGACGAGGATCAGAATGGAGAAGGACTCTTTCTCCTCGGCTAGGCGTATCCTCGCGAGCAGGTATCTAATTGATGATGAATACAAAAGAGTGGCGGGACACTGCGTGCGAGTCTCTCAGTTGCTTCCACGTGAACATGCTAATGTCTCCGATAATAAGCTGGTGGCGCGATGGCCGGTTTTACGCGCGTTTCTAAGCATCTTCGTCACACGTGAACGCGATCGACGGTTCCCTAAGTGAGAGATGACGAGACGTAGCGAGATACTGAGTGGCAAAAAGAACGCGGTGAAAGAAGATACGAGACACGAGAGAAAGGGAGATAGGACGAGATGACGAAATAATGGAAGAAACACCGAGAACGTATCTCGGGATACGTTCCCCGAGAGGGATAAGGAGCAGAAAAATCGGACGAGGCGAGAGGGCGGGATGGGCTCGAAAGACAAGAAGACGGGAGTAAGTGACGAGAAAGAGAAAGAGAAAGAGACAACAAGGGAAGAGCTCGGACTGATCGGGAGACTGTGCTTTATACGCCGATGCATTGGGAGATGTCGAGCCGGTGGTGGTGGAGGCCGACGAACGAGGAGAGCGAGAAGAGTGGAGGGAAGGGTTGGAAGGAGGGAAGGGTTAGTAGCTCTTGTAACGCTATCGACCCTGTCGCTGTACATCACGTCGACACCATCCTAGTCCGCTCATTTCAGATCGCGGGAGTAGTAGGAGTTGGCTTCTGCGCCATTACTTCGGTCGCCGGCCCTACGTGTGCACGGCACGCACGCACGCACGCACGCACTCACGCACGCACGCACGCACGCACGCACGTATGCACGTGGGGTGCCGTGTGAGCGTGAGCTACGTTGTACACGCAGGTTGCACGCGAGCAAAGCGAGGTGGACGAATGAAGGGCGAGGTGTGCGCGATGGCGAGGAGCGTGCATTATATCCTGGGAGCGCGCTCCTCCGGAGATGCGATGCCGATTGCGCGAAATAGAACGGTTGCACTCGCGGCTAATATTAGCGAAATTTATGCGCCGGGACGATAACGAAAGGCTCGTGACGTTTCCGAGGCTTCCAGTTGAAATCTCTCGGAATCGGTCCGCTCCAAAGTGCAAGCGTGAAACGATCTGAGTAAAATCGGTAGTCTCGACCTCTCTTGAGATCTCGGAAATATGAGATTTTACGAGCGCCAGATGGGAGTAGTCAGGCATACTCGCCAATCTTCGCGTGACGATATCCTCGCTGCTGTTCTACGGTAAATATCGGTAGATAAATTCTGATGGTATTACGATAATAGAGAATTTAAGAGAGACATTCTCGTTGAACGTATGAGATCAGCATCGAAACGGAATATTTCTGTAGGCAGAAATTTTCATCTTCGTCAAGTTACTGAAGACAGTCTCGGCTCCTATTTCAAAGATACCCCGCGAATTCCCGACAAATTGATTTAAATGGACGCCACTTTACAGGCACGTTTGCTGCGAAAGATCGCCGATAATAATTTAGACATGTGAATCGAAACGGTCCCGGCAGTGCACCTGCGGTTAGCGCGAATATTTGTGCAGACATTTATCTCGTAGAAAATGGCTCTCGATTCCGGAATGCGTGACGGGCAATTATTGGCATGTCTGACTCGGCGGTTACTTCAGTCACTTTTCCATTAAGAAATTCGAGAATAATTAATTGCGGAAGTAACGCTGCACATAAGTACGCCATTGCACTTGTATGCGAAGATTATAAGTGCTATAACATTAATATATGCCTATTTAAAAAACTTTGCTGGACAGAGATACGTAATATTGGTTGCACGGAAATCTACGCGAAACCTTGTAATCGACGAAAGAAATTGATTCGTGCGTTAGTCATTCTTTTTCACTAATAATAGAAGCTATCTTTCGACCGGCATATGCACTACGAGATTTACTGCAACTTGTATAGAATAGGAATATATTTATAACTTGCCGTGTACTCGCGCGTTAATTTTCCTTATCTCGCAGAATTATCGTAAGGTACGGCGGTGAAGAGACAGAGAGAGAGAGAGAGAGAGCGCATCATCCGACCGTGAATTCCTCTCAGCCGAATTCTTATGCTCACAGCTCGTTGAGTCGTGATGCACGCGACCACGATCGCCCAATCACTCGCTCTATTTCCCTCTCTTTCGTACCAAAAACCTCGGGAGTCGTTTTCGGGCGATGCCGCGCCGCTCCGGCCGCTGGTCGCCGGTCGCCGCATGGGTTAACCCGGCGGAGCGTGAAACGTGCGAGAACGTCTGTTTCTGCTGGGATATCTCCCGACCATTTCCATTTAATTGATCGTCCTGAAACGTTGGCACGTATATGTGCCCCGTGGATCGAAGGCGATACCGGGACGGCGATTTCAATGGGCACTGGACGAGCCAATTAGCTCCGTCCCAATGCTCAGATACCCTCTTTCCCCCCGATTCTGTCCTCCTCGCCACGGCTTTACCCCCTTTCTCCATTTCTCTTCCCTCTCCTCTCTCTCTCTCTCTCTCTCTCTCTCTCTCTCTCTCTCTCTCTCTCTCTCTTTCCTGTTTTACTCTTCTTTTTACATATCTTTCTGTTAATCTTTCTTCCTGTGTCTCCCTGGTTCGTTTTCTCTGTTCATCGTTCCGCTGGCCTAAGTTCTCGACCTCATCTTCCTCTTTCCTCTCTTTCTTTTTGTTTCTGCTCCCAAGTCAAACTCCCGGTCTATATGCGACCTGGAAGGCTTCCGGGCTGAAGCGGAACATTATGGGCCCCTCTCTCGCCTCTCGGACACGGGAACACAGAAAACCGGGGTCCTATCTTATCCGCGAAGAAGTTTATAGCCCGGTCGACTCTAATTGGGCGAGAAATCATCGGGCACTCCTTTTCTCCGTCCGCACGCTCAAAAAGACTCTCACTAATTCACGATTTCTCGCGTATTATTGCCGGATCGCGCCACCTCCTCACCTCTTGGCTCCTCTTCTTTCGTCTCTCTGTCAAAACCTTTTTCTCCTTCTTCTTTCTGGATCCTTAGTAACGAGCAAACATCATTCTGAGAGGCTTCGACACTTTTCGATACATCGACGTTTAAATTAAGCTGTATATTTGAATTTCTCATGTAGTCTCGTCGTATTTATATATTGCGAGATATAGCGAGAATTTAAAAGCAAACACATTTGTCTGGATAAACGATTATTGGATACGCAATTGTCTTAATTATGTATAGCGATATTGCTCACCTAATCATTTATATATTGCGAGGAGATATAACGGGAATTTAAAAGCAAACACACTTGCCTGGATAAACGATTCTTGAATACGCAATTGTCTTAATTATGTATAGCGGTGTTGCTCGCCTAATCATTTCTGCACTGCTCAAAGGGATTTCGAGAAACGAATGCAATTTTTATATGATTTGCTCATTAGTGAAGTAGTATCTCGTTCAGTAACCGCGCCGTTCGTGATAAAAGTCCGTGTGTCAGATTATTTCTTCATTTCTGAAAAAAACTTACAGAGTCGTTATCCTGAGTAAAAATCTCGAGACAGTCGTTGCCGTGGATAAACCTTTCGTCTTAACGTGCTGGGTGTCAAGGCGCGATTTCGTCAATTAAGAGAAGGCGCTCGCCGTTTATTCGCTCTCTTTATCGCGCGAAATGTTGGAATATTTTCTCACGGATCAGCGCGGCGGAAATGGCTTAACGCAATTTACGGCGCAGGAACGACGAGCCGTGATCCCTTCTCGTGATCCTAATTCTCGTTAACATCCGAATATCTCAGTTTAATTCATTAAGGGTTATACGCGGCTACGATCGGCCCCGGTAATTGCGCGACGATTTTCGGAGCGAGCGGGCGAGCGCGCGATTCAGCGCGCGAGAAGGTGCCGGGCTGCGCTATCTCGGCAGGCAATATCTCATTGAGCAAAGGAGGAGGTGACTTTAACGTCGGCTCCCTCTCGCTCTCCTTCCGCGAGCAATCGCGGCTTGAGACGGGGCCGACGTGCCCGCCGAGCGAGTAAGATCGTTAATCTTGCCGCGCGCCGATCGGGCGCAGATAGTAATTGTTACGTTCTGCTTTCCCGTGGCCGACCGTTCGACCGTGTCCGACGAGCCTCCTCCGAGCACCCGAGGACTCGAGCCGTCCCTCTCGCGCGCGTCTTCGCCTACCACATTTCCCACCTCTCTCTCCCTCCACGTGCGTGCACGCGCTCCGTCCCTTTTCTCCGCGTCGGGAGTCGCCGACCGATCCTCACCCACCCGGCGGCATTAACGCCCTCGGCGGGTTTGTTGGCGCTACAATGCCGCCGATATCCGTTCGCCACTCTTCTGCCGACTGTTTGCGTTGGATCTCCTCGGCTTGTATGGCGTATGGCGACGGCAGGTGAATGGAATCGCGCGCGTGCGGAAGTTTGAATCGCGGTCGTAGCTGAAAATTCCCCTCGGACGAAGAGTCAAGTTACGATCTGCAAACGAGAATAATCGATGGGGAAGTTAAGGCGCGACTAATTAACGGGAAATTAACACGCGTATTTCCTCTAAGTAGTTCGGGAAGTCGCGAGGACCTTTCTCGCCGATAAGAGAACTGATGACGCGACCGCCTTATCTATAGGTTCTGCTTTCGTTATTGGGCATATCCTCCGTCAACTTTCGGACGGCTCGGATCACTCGGCCCGCTTCTGCTTCACACGCTACTTGCAAGCTCGACTCGATGACATCTCGACTCGGCGAGGTCCAACCTTTGCGTCGTTCTATCCGCGACGCAGACCTACGAGACTGTCGAGGTCGTTCGGTTCACGCGCTAATAGAGTCCCTGGTCTCCGGGGTTCGGTTACCAAAAAGAGATATGCGCGCGAAAAGATACGTCGATCCGTCGTGTTAACGCCATTAACGAGTCCGCTCGTGTTACATGCCCGACGAACGTCTCTCGCTTCTCTCCTCGCCGCTTCTCCCTTCGTCGCGCTGGAGATCGGCGTTTCCTCGTCCTCCCGCCGTGCCGCGTATCCCCGGGCTCGTGATGCCGGGACCTGGCCATAAATTCGGACCGCTCGCGCTGACCGTTGACGCGGGCCACGATATCCGAAATGTCGCGCGGATCCAATGTTTTCGTGCTCTCAACGGCAACAAGCGACGATTCCACCCGTGTGCCCGTGGAAGAGAGTGTCGCCCGGAGAAAACCAGTTTCGCGCGCAGATTCCTTATTTGCGAGCCCGACGAAACCGTAGATTCGAGTTAATCGTCGATGAGCCTTCCCTCGTTCACGCACTTTTTTTCTCCCCTTCGTTGTATCCAGCTTCCCATATCCTCGCCTCCGTGCAGCCTTCGGGTCGGCGCGACTACGGATACGCGCGTCTCCGAGCGATCGCGGAGTATTTACATTCCGTTGTCGAGGGAATGGATTTGAACCTGGCGTAGATCGCGCGCCGTCAGGTGGAACTTGACGTTCTTCCGTCGCGAAATTTCAATTGTATCGCATATATAGCTTTTTAATGGTAATCTCGAAGCGCGCGAGAAAGCGCGCGACGTGCGGATACTCTCGCGGCAAGATAACTTACGCATTCGCGGTGCGCGAGAGGATTAGATTATCCTCGCAGAGTTTTGCACGGGAAATCGAACGTCATCCGGCAAACTTGTACTATGTTCTATGGAACATTAAGCAGGAGATAACTGTGGGCAATTTTACCTTTCTTGTACGTGCTCGCGCCTCTTTTTCCTCGCCGTTGACAAAACGGCAATTTAAGTAGATACACGGTTGCACGGTCGTGGAGAATATCCGCGTCGTCGGTATTCGCGAGCGGTTTAATAAGAGATAAGCACGGGAAGGGTATTAGACTACGGGTGCGCGATCCGTAGCGGAATATCTTGTACCTCGGGAGATATGCGGAAATATATTCCACCAAGGATAATTGCCGTAGAGCGTAAATCAAGGGGTAGCTGGACTCGTGATATCGATTACTTTACGTATTGATGTCAGTAATAATCTCATAAATCAATAAAGATAGGTCGTAGGATGAACAATTCGGATTAACAAACGAAGAAAACGTTTCGCGTGTCTTTAATACTCGAGCTCTGCGTTATTAAAATAATGTTGAAGTAAGTTGAGAAATTACATTGAATTCTGTCGTTCTTCCCGTTCGCGTCGTCGTTCAACTTAGGATTGGTAGGAAATTAATTGGACAAACGAGAGCGTGGGATATTTATGTAAATTTATTTCAATATAACATATTTCATTGTGCGGATATTCGATGGCTCGCCGAAAACTGTTTCGTCTGTCGGAGGATAGTTGGAAAGAAAATTTGGAAGAGTTTGCAAAGAGAAAAATGAGTCGTGAGACGCCGTGTGTGGATATTTACAGACGGTTTCATTTAAATAAACATTATTTTAACACAGTTCGTACAGGAGATTATCTGTGTTCTCGCTTATCTCTATTTCAAGTATCTAGTTTACGCATATCCCTAATTCATAAAGATTCGCTAGGACTAGTTTCGAATGAGTTCTCGAACAACCTCATTCTTTCTTCGCGGTTTGTTTTTTATTCTCTACTCGCACGAGCGGCTCCCCAGATTTGAGCGATCTAACAGCGTTTGCTTTTGCCACGCGATACGCATCGATCACTTATCTAATCGACAATAATAATTACAATGACATGATGACGTTGCGTTTTAATATTACATAGCTCGCAACACTTATTCGCATCCGCGATTGTAAGAAATCGTCCATATTCGTATAGTAAGCAGTGTTCCGTAGGTATTGAAAACTTGAATAGAAACGAGCCGAGCCCGGCAATAATGAGAAGAGAGAAAATATTGGATACAACACATCTGATGCTACGCGCCGATAACCGTTGATTCGATTCTCTAATGCAGCACGTTTTACCGATTTATCACTCAATCACTCGCGTGTTGACCGAACAAGTGTCAGCGATTCCGGATCGACGTTTTGCGACTAGTCCAATTGTGCTATTTGTCATAGCTTGCGCCGCAACAGGCAAAAAGGAGAAACATTTTCATCACTTTTGCACTGGTCGATCACCAATAGGTAAAAGATAAAGAACTGCGACGACGCACTTGGAACACTGGTAGTTACTGATCCGTGCGATTTGTCTAGCCAATATTTTTCAATAAGTAAGCCGCAACGCGGCCGCTCGATTTTTGTTGCGAAAACATCAGCCCGGATTGAACGACCGATATCACATCTCGTTCAGCGATCGTGCTTCGTAAGTTCCAACGGTTGTTGGTCAGTCCAATGATCTCTCCAAGCGACCGGTGGCGACGACGGTACATCTTGGTCGGAATCTTGAACATCGATTTCCTCATCCTCATCCTCGTTCTGATCGTAACGTATCCTGTGCGCTGATTCCGGACGCGGACCAATACCGGATCCCTGCCGCTGATCGTACACGGGACTGGTCGGTCTCGAGAGTCCGGACGAGTCGTCGCCCACCAGTTGACTGATCATTCGAAAGGCGCTAGGTTTCCTTTCCGGTTGCTTCGGTACCGACTCGTGCCTGTCGATCCTTTCGGGCCTGTCGAGGCCAGCGTCCCTAATCGCGGAATTGGCGACGACCGCGCGAAACGCACTACTTTCGCCGCCCATGCCGGCGATGGAGCAGCTGGATGTACGCTGGCCGATTTCCATAGCGGACGTAGCGGAGTGCGGTTGCTGCTGCTGCGGCGGCTGCGGCTGCGGCGGTGGTGGTGGAGGCGGTGGTGGCGAGCGCTTTAAGAGGTTCATGCGCTGGTGACGACGCCACTTTGCCCGTCTGTTGGAAAACCAAACCTAAGAGTCACGAGTTAGGTCGTTAGAACGCTCGTGATCAAGTCGGACGGGGGAGAACGACGCGGCCGTTGTCCGCAGGGCCTTCTCCAATTTATAAATGTCGAATTAGACCCTGCGTCGTTGCGTCGGCTCTTTATCTTTATCTATTGGTAGATCCTCACCTGAACGCGCGCTTCCGAGAGCGACGTTTTCGAGGCGAGGCGTTCGCGTGTGGACACACACGGATAATGCGACCTCTCGAATTCCTTTTCGAGCTCCTCAAGCTGTTCCGGGCTGAAAGTCGTACGGTTGCGCCGGAACTTGGGCTGCTCCGAACCGTCTAAGCTTCCGTCATCTCCGTCGCCATCTGTACATTTAATAGAGATACGGTTTCTATGGGTTGCGCGTTTCTGAGTACAACAACCCAGTAAAACATTTTTCGTGGACGAGCTAACAAAACTTGTGATGCTCTTCATTATTATTTTAAAGTTAAATACAGAATTGGGACAATTCATATCTATAACATTTCTATATGCTTGACGTGAGAATACTCTGATTTTTCGACAAGAAATATGAAAAAATATATTTCGAAAAGCCAACATATACAACATTTTTAATTATAACGTTATTCAGTGTTATTTGCTCACTGTATGAATACCGTAATAATCCTAAACATTTAGCAAGAAACTGTACAAATATCAAATTAAATCTCCCAAGCGTTAATGAAAAATCAAATCGTAAGCAAGATATTAGGTTCTTTCTGTGTGTCTCTTTCTCTCTCTCTCTTTCTCTCTTTCGATTTTCATTTTTTGGTTTTCGTTTCAATAATTGCATGCAAATCTAGGAATTTATTCGGATCTAAAGTACTAAACTTATATTTGAATAGATTTAATCTATTGGAGGTGAATGCATAGAAAACTTTCATAGAGTCCCAAAGTGTAGGGTATACTTTTTTCTTACTCTCTAAAAGTCAATCAGTGGATTATGACTGAAAACAGTGAATACTCAGTGATTCACAGTTACGAGTATACCACTGCGATTTTCAGTAGTAAACTTATAACTGTGAATCACACAGTGACTATTCACCGTTTTCAGTGATAATCCACCGATTGACTTTAATGCGGGGTCTACAATGCAAGTGTCAGAGTCGCAGTTGCAAGAATAGTCGATTATGATTGGTCAATTCTTATGTGTCTGACTTGACTTGACCGATTACAGTCGATTATTCTTACGACTGCGACTCTGAGCCTCGCATTGTAGACCCCGCATTAGAAAATAAATAGGATAAATTTTGCGTCGCGACATCGAAGCGCGACGGGGCGCGTCTCTTTTCGTCACCTTGCAGATATCCGCGAGCGATCGCGTCGGCGGCGTGAAGCGCGTGCTCGGAAGTACCCGCGGCGGACGCGGACGCGGCTGCGGCCGCGGCGGCGGCCGCACCGGGGCTCAAGGACGGCGGTAAGAGCAGAGCGGACGCGGCGGCGCCGGATATGCCGCCGGCAAGAGGCGGCAGCATCCACGGATGTCCGGCTGCTCCCGGCGCCGGCCAGCCCGCCGGCAGATGGTGGCTCGTCGTCGGGTGCTGGTGCGAGTTGAAGTACGGATGCGGCCCGGCGGCCGCGTACAGGCCGTAGCCGGCGGCCCGCGCGAATTCCGCGGCCGCGCGTTCCGCCGCGCGGTTCCGCAGTATCCGATTGATGCTGCTGACCGACGGCGCTGTCGCGTTGCTGCAGACCCCTGGAACAGGCGAGTAAACGACGTTGCCGATGAACGCGGGTCGCGGAGATACCGTCAAGTACGTTAACACCTGACACGAATACGACGAGGATAAGTGCGCGGAGCTTTCGGCAATTTCGTTCATGCCACGAGCAACTTTTAATGTTACAACGTCGAGTTTTTTGCGTGGCAGCGTTACGGCGAGAGGCATATCGAAGTTTACTGACGATTGTAATGATATTCGTGTTAGCACGAGTGGTATGTGTGTCAAGAAGTAAGGTCGCAGAAACGCGTTTCTTAATTCTTTCGTTTAAATTATACGTTACTCATACGCGCGTCTGTAATCACGGGTGGTTTGCATTCGCATGGCTTACAGAGGACGAGCATAATTAAGTGAGGAACACGCTAGTTTATGCATCGCGCTGGTGAGGACTCGACGTTATGACTAAGCGCGTTCTAGGAGATATGTATATTGCGAAAAATCGCAATCAATGTCAATGTTAGTCAAGTCGATCGATCCTTCGAACGCTCGCGCTTCGCGATCGTTACGTTATCGTATCCGCTCTTTTCATCAAGTACGCAGTGAGAAATGATTCGTCGATCGATGTCGAATCGACGTCAATTTGACGGTTTCGATGCCGATTCGATATCGTTTCGACATCGAGCGACGAGTCATTTCTCGCTGGGTAATGATCGACTGGCAAGGCATTTATCTTCCCCTCCGCGAGTAATTTTTAAGCGCAGCACGGCTCATAAATTTACTTCACTTACATCCGAACGCGTTTGAATACGCCTCCCGATAAGGGACGATGCAGGCATTATTATCTTACCCTCGGAGATTAGCCTCTCCCGAATTTCCCAAGCGAAGATGGTCGGATTCTCCCTTTTATATTGCTCGATCTTGGCGACGACAGCCGGTGTCGCTACTTTCGGCTTACTGCCACCGATCAGACCCGGCGGGCGCAACGTACCTGGAACACGATAAAACGGGCTTCAAGGACGCGATGCATTGGCAAAACTCCTGGCCCTCGATAAAATCGCTCGTAAATGGCGCCGCGGCATGGCACATTTATATTTTGCGCCCTATTCGGCAGCTCGGACACGCCAAAACTCGCAAAGCTCGCCGTAATTCCCGAAAATCACGCGATGCACGCGCCTCGGAATCCGAATGTATCTTTCACGAGGCGTGATCGATGCGAAAAGAGTGATAATTGTAATATTATACATTAGAATTGAATGGCGCATTAAATGTAATTTGTTCCATTCACGTAAACATTGGACTTCGTATTAAAACAGGGAACTTGTAGTCAACTGGCATATTCCTGTATTTAGCAAATACGTTTCGACCTTATTTTGGGTCCTTTTCAAGTACTACTGCAAATCAACAAAAATACGAAATTAAAGTTATTCATTAGTTATCAAGTAAAACGGAGGTAAATTAACGAACCAAAGTGAGCCACCGTCGTCCATAAGACACAGTCAAATTACAAAAATACAAGCACATCTGAGCACTGTGGATGCTCGATTCGAACTACTTCGTAGGTACCGTCCTAAGAAAAAAACAAGGTGATATTACGACCCACAAAGATTTGATTACGCAGTCATACATTATATTTTCGGTGTCTATTTGTAAATTGAGTGTTGTTGGGTTTTTTGATAAGAAACATTTCGGCGATTTCTCGTTTCCTCGTGAAAAGCTCGCTATGCACATTTTTTGGTTTCGACCAATTGAACCCATGGTTATGTAATATGTCTGCCAACGACTGAGTGACAGCTTTCGTGTTTCTTAATATCATTTCTATGCTCGTTAATGCGGGTCTGTAGGTGTCGTTTAGATATGTCGATTTGATCTCTTGGACATCGTTTCGCATACGAGATGCATTAGGGTTTCCTCAGTCTTTCAAGACGGCCGCGAAGAACATTGTGACGCGTGGAAAATGGGGAACGTAAGGAAGAGAGAAAAGACAAACGCCAACATATAATATTGCAAAAAGTCACGGCAATATCACTGTAAGCGACGCTTAACATCGCGTGTTACCGACAAACGGATATCAATCCTATCTTCGTATCTGGGCGGATTCATGATGCAGCAATTAGGACAGCATGAGGATGCTTACGTAATATACATCGTGATATAAGAAAATTATCCGCAGTCGTGTAACCACTGCGCGTGAACTTGGCTTGTGATAATTTTTAGTGTCATTATCGCGCGGTGTGGATATCTGCTTAAGAATTGAATCGCATGCTTAGATCAATGAGGCTCGGCACCGCTTGTGCAAAATTATCGTACTTTACGATAAACGATCTTCCCTCTCCTTCTTTCCCCCTCCCTTAAAAATACCAAGACATTTATTTTAACCAACAATAAGAAAATATCGGTCACAGGTAAAAATACATGTGTGTTTAGCCGTTCCGCCGTGTTCTACCGTTTAGATCTACCGCTGTCATATATTCCACAGAAACTGAACTTATAATTTACTACTCGTGGGAAAGATAATAAGCGACGCAGCAGTCAATTAGTCATGAATTAATTAGTATCCACAAGTGAATACGGAGACGCGCACAGCTCCATAAGCATATTATAAGTACGAAAAGGCTATGCATATCATCGATTGTGTGTTGTTGATACCGTAAGGGACGCATAAGTGAAGTATATCGACCAACCGAATTTAATGTACCAGGTTATGTTCTACATATTACGAAACGTCTCATACGAGAAGTCTATATGCTTTCAGGACTTCTAATTTTAAACCAAGAGTATATACAGCTGTAATAAGTTGTCGTTATACGTATTGATATGTGATATCGATCAATCGCGCGGTAACTATATTAAATCGTGCCGTATACGATGAGAGGGATACAATTGGAATAGATCGCAGTTGCAATCGTCATATTGTAAAATTCCTCCTTTCTGCCAATGTTGCGCCGTTACTAATGATATGCATCCAAAGCCACGCTGCGTTTAAGATACAACGTGTATCCGCTGTTTTTGCCCCGTCTCTCGCGAGCGACACGACAGAGGCGAAGAAACGAGAGTCACGCTCGCGTGCTGATATCAATGTCAACCATCGGGCGCAAAGGGTCCCACTGAGATTCGCCTTCCGACCCCAATTACGCGCGGATTCATCGTGGAAGAGCGCGGATGTCGTTCTCGCGTACGTGCATGCATCATCCGTCATTCGCGTTATTCCGCCGCGGTCTCTTCCCGCAGACCAGGTCCCTCGGACGAGCGGGAGCGGTGCGAGGTATCCGTCAATCTGGCGGATGATGCCGGGAGACTGTGTGGAGTAATGGAAACCAGAGGCGCAGGCAGACTTGAGCAATTATCGGTCGTTACGTACTATTATTAATAACAATAATGACGGCTAAACCCGGCAGAGGGTATCGCGTGCGCTCCCACGGATGAAGTGCGTGCCGGGTATATAAACGATGTATCCACCTAATAGGTATCCATGCCGCGAGCAAATTCCTTGCCTCGACCTGCTATCCCGATCTTTCTCTCTTTCTCCCCGTCCCTTCCTCTCTTTGTCCTTTGGCTTCTCCCTGTCTTTCCGTCCCTGTATCTATCTTTCCCTCTTGCCATCGCTCCATCGTCGATCTCTTCCCACCCCTGGCCTCCTCGCTTTTTCATTGTTGCTCGTACCGGCTTGCTCCCTCGGGTTTGCTCCTGGTGCACGTGTGTTACGCGCCTACGTGCGTGCGTACATGAGATTTTTGAGCGCGAAGCACGGTTTTTAATAAAAGAAACCGCACGAAGCCAATTTCGTTAGCCATTTAGGGTTGCTCGCGAGCACAGCGGAGGATGTCAGTCCGCCGTGGTTACGGGTATCGTTACGGGACGAGAAGGCCTGCATTCATCGCGCGCCGCATGCGTGCGCGTCGCGGGCGAGGTGATCTCTTTTATGAATTGATAATGAGAGATTAGCGTAATTACACGGCGGGCGTGTATGGAGAGCGTTGCGATAGAAACTGCGAGCAAACAACCGGAACGCCTTCGGCATTGTCCACTCGATTGCCGTCCAGTTATCCTAACGACCGCAGTAGTGGCGCGTTAAGCTCACACGCTTCAATTTTTGGCCATTTATCTCCTAGCCTCTCAATCCAGCGTTAAACCTAGCCGGGGAGCTCATAGCCGCGACCTCTGAAGACACACGAAGATCGATACGGTCGATTCGTAATTTTAGTCGATGAATATGAATGAGTGGAAACACCGTATTATAATTCGTATCTCGGCGATCAAGTGACCAGATATCGCGTAACGTCGCACCCGCTCCCTTCCCGACTCGCGAAACGGACCCACTCGCTCGCTCGCTCGCTCGCGGATTAATTGTTCGCCGTCGTTAAGTAATTGGTCGGCCGATTATGGTACATTATATTCACCTCGAGCCGCCTAAGGACCAGCGTATCCAGCGAGATGAAGACATTACCGGCGCGCCGCGAGAGAGCAGGCCACGAACGGTATTTTTACGAGTGGCTCGTAAAGTTAACGAGGACCGCGAGGTAGGCAGGCAGGTCTCTACGAGAAAGAGAGAAACTCCGGCGTTCCACGGCGATGCTCGGTGGCTCGCCTCCATTTTTTTATTGTTCACCTCTCTCGGCACACGGATCTTCTTCTTCTTCTTCTTCTTCTTTCTCCTCCTCCTCCTCGTCTTTGCTCCTTCTTCTTCTTCTACTTGGCTTGCCCGTTTTTCTCGCCTTTCCTCGAACGCGATCCGGGCTTCCGTTGGGCTCGCATGGATACCCGACGATTCCCGATCTCGTTTGGAGTCTAAATTTCCGCGAGTTTCACCGCGCTCTCGCGTGCAAGATCGAACTCGCGTGCCCATCTCGGCGAAAGCGCCCCGATCTGCATTAACTTGCGAAATATGGCGGTCGAAGGTACGAGGTACGAAGAGCAGCGCGAGTAGCCACGAAGAGCGCAAACGCCAGAAAGTTGAGGGTGTGGTTTCCTTGAGCGATTAGAGATATATATTTTGTATATGCAAATCTTTATTGAATTATTAAGTGTACGGCATGGGATAGCTTTCGTTGAAGCTAATATAATATTTGACAACCGCAAAGAACATTTATAACATACCATGGCAAACTCGTGAAATTTCTAATTTCACATTTGCCAGATTAAAGAGGAGAGTCGAAGCATCAGTTGGAATGTAGAGAGGCTAATAATTGGCGCAATCATTGACGAATTATTCATGTTTGTTGCCGAGGTGCTGAAGTTTAATGCGTGAAAGAAGCGGCTGTTACGTGTTAATTCTCGCAAGCTAACGAGCTTCGGGTGGCTCGTTACGTCCGACCATGCCCCGCGAGTTTGGCGTCATTCCCCGTTCTTTGCCTTACTTGGAATCGCTCGAGATATTAATGCTGTATCGTTTGAGGCCACCGATAATTGCCGCGTGAATCGCAGCGAGAAAGTACAATCGAGAATTATGTGAATTTCAAACGAGAGGTAGAGAGAGAGAGAGAGGGCGGGGGGGGGAGGGAGAAGGCACAAGAAGTGAAATAAAATTATTAATTTTCTTATTTTAAAAAGCAGATCGTGAAGAAAGCTTCCTTTTTTTTGTTATCGGAAAAGCATTACGTCGCTATTATCTTTTTCTCATGAATAGGAATTACCTTGAAACTTTATTTGACAAATACGACGGAAAGCTTTTATTCCAGTGTACCTAATAGTTCTCGACTTTGAAAAATCTTCCCTTCTGCATCTCCAATGTCTATTTTTTTCTCATTTCTGGAGGATCGATTGGTATTCTCGGAACGTACAGAATACAAATGGATGATTTCTGCCTTGGCTTCGTACCGAAATTACGTGCGTACGTAATGCGTGCATGGCGCTCGATACTCGCGATAGGCATAGCGGTTGACGAATATAATAGCGATATGTCAACGGAGTACTTTCCCTACGTGGGTTCTCGTGTTCGGAATGTCACCCAATAATTTGCATATTCTTATCGTCAACGATAAGAAACAACGCGGGGTATAATATCGAGCGTACAAATATCACAAATGCGATTCTCCTCGCACGAAGGCAGCCTCGCGGCATATCGTAAAAATACGCTTTACGAACCTAAAAGTTTTGTAACGACTGCGCCCTGTTGGTTTAATGACAACACGTGGTTGGCGAGATCGTTGTAATGCCTGAGCGCTCCTAATCCATGTGACAATTCGATTAGACGTTGCCGCGATGCGTTGCCGTTATTGCCGCTGGCAAACGGGCCGGCCGTGCAATTTTGTAAATTCACACCTGCAATCAGAGGAACATTTTGTTGGAATACGTATAACAATCAAATCAACATACCAACCAGCTAATAATAAATGTTAGAACGAAATCTCGGTTTATCTCCGACTGTTAATTTCACCACATTTTCTTGACATTCCTCGCTCTAGATTTTTTTTTCGTGGGCTGGTTAACGAGAGATTCCCGAGACGACTTTACGCGTCTGAGATAATCGGGAATTAATTTTTCTCACAAAGATCTCCTTTAGGATTCTCAAAGTCAGTTGAATGCTTCGTTAAATTAACAATCGGCTGCGTAATCGCCGTGACGAAAGTGGTCACGGTCAAATAACTTCACGTTCAGGCGCATTAATTTAAGTTGCTGAACGTGATCTCGCGATCCCGTTACTGATACGGTCTAACAGAATGTTAAAACCGCAGAGATACCTGTCATTAAAATTATGGTTAATAATTAATTTATATTCATCGCGTCGCTATTACTTCGCGTAACGTTTACATTTTTCACAGCTATGGATACGTTACATTACAAGAACTTTGAATTTAGATGATCTTATCAATTATTTTATCTTGAGTTTTCAATGATTATCGTTTGCTCTCGAATAGTCATTAACATATTAATCAGTGTTGCGGAATTAATAAAAGTTAATTGGTTTTCTAGTAAATTCAGATTTAATAGAAAATTATTCTTGACCGTTTCTTTAACAAACTTGCTCCTATAAAAGATGATAATCAGTCAATGTGTGTGTGTCTTTGTTGGTTCTATTATGTATCATTACATCGCGATACATTAAAGAAAGTTGTAGAGTTTGGTTTATTATGCACGCATCTGTGGTTATATTGGATGGAAATAAATAAGTTAACCAGGTGCAAGGAAGTTTTTTTTCGAAAGGATGCGCGTGAGTCGAGTCTCTTCCGTGGATTTATAGCTAAATATATCTTCACGACATTTTGAACAGGGAAGAAACGATTTACGATTGGACACACGGCTCTATTAAGAATCGTTTGTTTACTTAATCACAATCGTCGACTTAATTTCGAGCAGTCGAGCACTCGATGGAACGGATGTGCATCGAACGTACTACGATTATTATGCTAACTAGAAAATGGATCAGTAGAAAATAATCTTAAAGGAGAGGAAATGTAATTACACAGCGTATCCAATAAAATTGCGACGGGACGAAACGAAGGTTCAAGCGTAAATCGACGCGAGCTTAAAGATAATATGAATTAAATGTGAGATAGATGTTAATTAATACTATGCCGGCAGTTCGATCAAAATTATGATGTGCTTATTATAGGCTCAGCTTCCTCGTAATCGCACTGTCGACTAATCTCAACGACGTTTAGCGCGAATCGCGCAGATGCCAATTTACGATCGAACGATGTATAGCGATATTAAGAGCGCATAGTACCTGTCATTTTGCGAACGACGAGCGCAATTGCTTTTTATCCAGTCGATCTTATGTAAGGAGCCCGATGATCGCGGGTAGGGACCGTCGGGCGAAATTAAATCTCGAGTGTTGGCAGAAAACAGGTCCGTCGTGCTCATTTGTATCGCGTTGTTTTAATTGGTTTTAACGAGTGAGCCCGGCGCGAATACGCGGCAGTCGGTTTATATAGTGGGAACGTTTAATTAATTAGTCCTTTATGAGCCGAGTGGATTTGCCAAACAGCTCGGCAAATGCATCTTATGTGGATCATTTGCAACTTGTTACTCGCGTAATCGGACGGCCGGCTCTTCGCACAATTTATGACGTCTATGCAGTTAATTACTAAAGGCTTCTCATTGGGGATACAGTTAATCAGAATTTAGCCACTTAACTGTAAACCGGAGGAGAACAATTTACGCGATGTGTTTTGTACGCATTTATTCTAACATTATTGACTGTTTCTTGTAAGAATCTTAATTGTAATTCGTTTTTAATTGTGATTTACATCGATAACATTTATGGCACATTCTTCGCCTTTGCTATTTTCTTAATTTTTTGGCGATCTTTTAAAAATATCGTTATATTTCCACCAAAAACAGATTATATAATAAAGTTAAACATCTGTTGATGTTAAGTGTATCTCAATGAGAAGTCGTGCAGATCGTGTAGGAGAAATCACGATTATTTAATTAAGAGGAGAAACAACGTATTGTCCAGTTACATTCGAAAAATTGTCGGGGGAATTGATCGCGAAACTAAAGTACTGCCCAAGATATTTTTCCGAGGAATCTTGTTTGCGATGGACGCTCGAAACATCGATTAAAACTTATGCGAATCCCGCGAGTCCCGCGCGCGTCCCGTCCGTCTGGATGGGGCACATCGGGCGCGCATTCCGCGCTCGTTTCGTGTCAAAGCGATCGGAGGTGTCGTGAAAACGAAAGTAGCCGATGCACAGAAAGAAATGCGTCCCATCGTCGTTGCATCGACACCAGGCGGGAACCGGTTCTGAACGAGTTCTGGCGTCAGGCCTCGCGGTATATTCATCCGTACATTCGAAATCGCCGCCGGTAAAGACCGATCGCTTGACACGGCGATAATAGATAATAGACAGAAAAACTGGAAGGCGGACCGATTCTCCTTCCGCGGGGACTCGGCGACTTATGAGATCGTACGCTTTGCACTCCCGAGTGGTTTTATCTGGACCGAGTCCAGCAGATGGCTTCGAGTAAAACCGCGTCACGCTGACGAGTGTGTTTGCTTACGGTGCACGAATCAAGTTAACTCCTAAATGCGTTTGTTTGCGACGCGCACACGCATAAAGATAAAACGCAACGGAGCACACTTAAATCAGTCGAAGAGAATGTTAAGAAACGAATGCAGATGCGAAATTCATATGTACATACGTACAGTGGAAAGAAAATGAATCGAACATTGAGGCTGAGATGCGATACAATGCGGCATAACTTTAAACTATATTTATATGTGGTCTGTCTTTCAAAGAGACCTACCTCTATAATAATATTAATCAAACGGGAATAAAAATTTACAGATAGAAGTTGAGTTTGAAATGTGCAGGCGAGAAATAATCAAGAGATTACCAAATAATTCTACGCGACAGCGTCCCGATGTATTCTGACGGATCTTTTAAAATACAGTTGCTTAATTACATTATCGTATCCCCGTTTATTTTAAGCGAGTCAATAAGCAGAATGATTATTCTCGTTGTCTTATTCGTTGTCTATTCGGTTAGCGAGATTAATCGCGACAGGGTGAATGCACGATTTGCGTCGTCGCAAAATGAAACCCGAAGTACGTACGATTCGTAGAACGAGGAGGCGCTGGCTTACGGACATTTATTTATGAATTTTTTTTACGAAATAAGATTTACATATTAAACAGATGGATAGTTGCGTTTATACTCGAGGGCAGTGAATCGTAAAAAAATAATATATTGCCAGGCTTTATAATTTCTACAGTGATCGTGTTAAGAATTGTGCATGTAACCGATTATTGATACGCATAGCTACAGGCAAGCATTTTACGTAATAACTCGATGATTAGTAGAGTCCGTGACGAGATAGTAACCCAAGAGGGAATTGAGAGAAAACTCACTTGCAGACGAAGACATGTCGATATTTCCCGACACTTGTCGCAAATACGTTCTAATCATAAAATCTCGAGATACCACTACATTACGCGTTGCCGCCTAACAACGCCTAATTGCTCATAAATTTTATCTACGGCATCATGCATCATTGAGCGGTATTTGCATTTTACATTAAGTGATACCATGCCCCAAATTGAACGTTATCACAGACTGATGTAATTTGGTATCACCTTTAGCGTTGAATGTGCGGCGAACAAAGCGAGCCATTCTTTTTATCTTCTTACGATGGATTAGTTCCACACGGAGAGAATTTTCTCTTAAAATTGATCCTGAAACTCGTGGGACAACATGACATTTCGAAAAATTTTATGAATTTTTTGAAGTTTTACGAAGTTTACGAGACACGGTAGTGTCTCGCGCCAAGTGTAAGCGTAGTACATTTTACTAGTGATTATATTTAGTATACATTTTACTAGTAAAATATATACTAAATATAATCGCTTTACCAGTAAAATGTATGGTAAAATTTCAAAAAACTCTCACAAAGTTCTTCAAAATGTCATGTCCCACGATTATATGAATTTTAGGGTAAATTTTTAAAAGAAAAATCTCTCCGTGTAACAATAACGCGGGTCATTTCGATCGTAAACTTAGAAATATTGATAAATGTAAAGTTTAGCGTCGAAGAGTGGATGCTGCGAGAAAAAAATCACATTTCTTGACAAAATTATAACCCGGCGGTTAGCAAGTAATATATTTTACGCGTAATTAGTGTATATATCTTCGCGGACACTTTCGACGATTGGTCGTCAAAAGTATAACAAAGTGCCGCGTGAAGACAGCTATTAACCGAGAGGTGTATTCGTTTCAAAACACTCCGGGTCGTAAAATCCCGCGGTATCTGGGCGCTGCCGAGTATCGTGAACGGCATCGGAAACAACGAGGCGAACTCGTATCGGGTTTTAAACTGGATTAGCGCCTTCCGCGCGTAAACCGAGCAAGGGCTACGCTTTGTCTGCCACGTCAAACTGTCAGATCTGTTTGCAGCTTTTAATTTGCGAACAGTATCATTTAGATCACAATTTAAGGGAATCAATTTGAATATAATCCGACATTTAAATTAATCAATACGTGGTAAAACTTTACCAATGGGATATTCACGAAGTTAGTTTTGATGACAAATGCTACATTGTCAGAGAAAGATGTTACACTTTCAATGCAATCATTAGACATTACTGTAATTAGTATATATCCTGAATATGAACTAACGCATGAAATGCCAAATGTCATAATATGCTACCAGAGCACTCGAAACACATTTCCTCTCGTCCTTTTCTCGCGTGTCCCTCCCTTCTTCTTTTCGCTCGCTTGCGAACGAAGACGTCCATTGCCTACATGGTATCTGCCTCGAAACGGTCTGGGTGTGGTCGTAAAATCTCGCGGTTCTGGAACGAAGTGCTCTGCGAACGCGAACGCGGGAGAATCGAGAGTACCCGCGGGATGGACGGGTATTGAGCGTTAAACGAGAGTAATACGTCCGCCGATCCAAAGAGAGGTGCTCGCGTTGCCAACGCATTGAAACCGGTTCCGGACGAGTGCGGTACTTGGTAGCCCCCGTGGTACCCTCCGTCCGGCAAGTGCGAAAGATCCGCGAACGCGCGGTAGTTGGACGTGTCGTTGTAGGCTCACATTCGCTACTCCCAATCGCGCGCTCTCTTTTATTCTCTTATCGACAGTTTCGCTTCGCGCGGCCACAGAGAATTTCGTGCCGTATTGGACATTCACGTGTCGCGAAGACCGAATACGGAATACGTTGCCGTCACATTACATTTCGTATGAAATAACGCAGGCCTTTATACAATCGCAATTCCGTTTCTCGTTTTTCGACACTTTTTTAATAATTGGAAGCTGAGAAGAGGTGGCGATGATCACTGATAACAAGCTGCGAGCATCGGTGGTGAAATGCATCAGGTTTTCCGGAATATTTTCAAGTATTTTGAAAAAGAACTTTGTTTCTAGATCATATTCATATATGGTAAAAGTGATGTAAAGTGTAATTGACCTGGAAACGTAGATAAAGTTTGGAGCTGATCATTCGAAATTTTGCATACTGATAATTCAAAACTAATTAATTTGTTAAATAACAATGACTCGTATAATAAAATCAAGTAATAAAAAAGGGGCTCAGAACCTGAACAAGGTTGTGGTGTCCGATAAAATAATTTTATATGTATACATATATGCAATTGTAATTTAAATTATTTTATTGATCACTACATTGTTCAGACTCTGAGCTCCTTTTTTATTACTTAATTTATTTGATACACATTTTTATGGTACAACGATTATAACACTGTGATAAATTCCGAATCTCTGAAATAGAAATTACTTCGTATGTGGATACTGTCGCCGACTTACTCGTCTATTTTTACAATCAGATTGAACGTTAATTCCAACTGTTCGTAAATGATTTATTCCGAAATTGCGATCGCGGCTTCGTGGTCAACACTTCTGAGATTTTTTCGTGTTTCCAAAGGCGTGAAATGCTTCCCATTAATATTGGTTACGGAGACGAACCCTGTACAGGTGTTTGGCCGTACAGGTGTCCAATGTTAATTGCTTCTACCATCCTGCATCGAGAGGTTCGCACGGCGAAAGATCGTGAAGCGATTCATAATTCAATTAGAGTTACTCGGTTATCTCTCATCAAGACAGATATAATCGATATAGTCATTTGTCGTCGTACACATATCACAACTTCTACGAGGACGTAATAATGATTAAATGACATGTTTAATATCGCACATAATGACACAAATGAAATATGTAACAATATCATATGGTAATAATTAATAACGCGTATATATTACATAACGTTTTCCTCGATATTTAATTTTGTTTCCTGAAATGGTTCAAATTTAAATCAAAAACAAATATGATGCTGTCGTATCCATGAAGTTTGATAAAATCCACGATTAAAAAAATTTATTTTATTACTGTAAATAAAATAAATTTCTTTACTTATTATAGAATTCCCGCGTTTTTTATCTACACTCTGTATTTAATTACGTAATTCCCTCGTTTCGTTTCATTGATTATTATCACTAACTTTGATAGTCCCGAAAGTATATTCAAGTGTCTCTCCGTTAAACAACGGTTTTGAATTTCAATGACGTCGCGCTGTGAAATTTTTCTGCAATAAAGCGCATGGAACACAATTGTAAATAATGGCGCGTGACGTATTTCGTTATTATCGATTTATCGTGGCGGCATAACGGAATTAATTAATCTCCATTGCTTACACATACATGTCCGCCTTATCTTAGATATTCAGGAATAAAAAAACGAAGAATGGTATAATAATGAATATCGAGAAAAATGTTTCTATACAGAACGCAGAAGTACCCGCTCGTCTCGCTTTTAGCGAGACGTATTAGAGCTTGTTTTATCGCACAACGGAAATTTTTTTTGCAACAGATTCGAATGCTTGAAAAATTTCACGACTCAAGGAAAATATTTGTCTTAACACGATTCATACCGCACATTCAGCATGAAGCAATCATTAATGAGTTTAGTGCACCGCGGGGATCTCGTTTGTATCTTTAACCGATTATCGCAATAATATTTACACACATCAAACTGTGCTTCTAAGCAATGATTTATCTGATGAGCGGACAGTTAAATTCTTTCGCGCTGGATGAAACGAACTCGACGGAAGAAAGAGGCGAGAACTAAACGGTTGAATCGAACGATTAAGATCTGAAATTTGCAAATGGGTCCCTACTCACCGTCAATCAGAGAAGCCGGTACATTCAACTGCTGGTGATGATGCGCCGCCGGGTGCTGTTGGTGGTGGTGCGGCGGGTGTACCTGCAGCAGGTGCGATCTCGTCTGGGAGAAGGTCGGCGACGGCGGTTCCCAAGGTCGGGCCACGCCGGTGCTGGCGGGAACGTCCTCGTCCTGACAGCAGAACTTGTCGCTCGCGCTCGAGGCAGTCGTGCAATTGGCGACTCCGTGCCCGTCATTATTGTTGCTAATCTCCCCGTTATTGTTGTTGTTGTTATTGTTGTTATTGCTACCGCTGTTATTGTTCGTGAGGCGCGTGGTGGTCGCACCCGTCGCAGGGCTACCACTACCACTAGCACTGCCACTGACACTACCACTGCCAATGCCGTCGACCTGCACCATCTCGCTGTCGATCGCAGCCGCCGACTTGGCAGTACCAGGAGGGGTCGCGACGCCGCCACCGATCATCATCACCAGACGATCTCACCTCCGCCCCCTCCACGCTCAACAACGGCTCCTCCCTCTCTCTCTCTCTGTCTGTCTCTCTCTCTTTCTCTCTCCTGCTCTTCCTCCACTGTCGCGGATGCACCACGTCTATCTTGGAGTCGCTTCCGTTTCGCATTCAACGGATTTTTCCTCCGCGCCGATCGTGATTCTCACAATACCGACGAGCGTCTCCGGGTTAACGTGTCATCTGGCAATACTCTCGCTCGGAGTACAGCGCCCAATAATATTCTCCTATGCGTTGAGCAATATCGTTGAACGAGCATTTTTCAACCTGCATGTAAACGATATACCGTAGACATTACTAATAGACTGGCTTGCCGATTTCGCCATCGTTACACTCGAATATTCTCCTCTCGTTGTACTCTTATCTACGTACGCACTGACACACAGTCCGATACAGATTCAACGCATTCTCGGTTAATTCGCCGAGTGTCTGCAGTTCCCATTTGTCCCCGAGAAACTTCAACTCGTCTTCACCGAGTTGTCGAGCGAATTGTCACGTGTGTACCAGCGAAGCATACTGTCAGCCACTATTTTCCGACAGCGCAAACACGGTTTCGCGGACTCGCCACGTGACGTGGAGTGACAGACGAGTCACCTGCGGAACCGATTAGCGGAGCGGAATCACTTTTCGTACGATCGCACGACGCATCGCGACGCGAGCTTTTACGTCGTTCGCGACACTTGGAGCCTAGTCGAAGCCGCGGAGCCGAAGGTGCGGAGTGTTGGAGCGCAGGCGCCTTCAACGAAGCTCGTGACCACGCTCTCCTCCTTCTCGTCCTCTTCCTCCTCCTCCTCCTCCTCCTTCTCCTCCACCTGGCCTCCTCTTCCCTCCCCGTACTCCTCCTCGCGTGTCGATCGCCCTCTCGTTTCTTCCGCCTACGAGGGCTCCCTTCTCCAATGACAGTCAACGAGGACTACCGCGGCACCGGGGTAACTTGCTCGCGCTCCGCCGGATTCGAGCGGATTGCCTTCCGCTCGGGGTTTAGAAGCGCGCCCAGACTTTCCCCTCGCTCCCTCCCGCCCTCCCGCGAGCCGGGCGACTCGCCGAGGTGAGATCAAGATTTAATGTGACGTGACTCGCCTCGTTCCATATACGCGGCCGATTTCCCCCTCGTACCCCGTTCTCCGTTCACCACCGGGATCCTTTTCCCTCCGACGCGACGCACGGATCCACCGGACTCGGCCGGCTCTTCGCACACTCGATCCACTCGGTACAAAAGAGAGCGTGAAAGGGAGATGAACTTCTTCCAGGATTGCACGCGAAAATGATTATTCTCTTATTTCTCTCTCCGTTCTCGTCCCTCGGTTCTACTGTGTCCTCACGGTGCACCGTTTTTCTTGTCACGCGATCAAATCGCCGAGGCCCGTCTCTCCCTTGCGCTCCAGCGTGAGGAACGAGAGACTCGTACGCCGCGGTTTTCTCGATTCGCCTCTTTAGAAAGGTCCCGTTATCTTCTATAACGTATGCGACACCGTCGTTCGCTTCCCTCTCTAGCAGCGTGTGGTGCTCCTCTCGAGAGCCACCCTTCCCTCGCACTACCTTCGGACACGACCAGACGCGAGTGCGTTACGCGAGGCAACCTGCTCGCTCTCCGCCGTATTCGAGCAGATTGCCTACCGCCGCGCGCTCCGCTCGAAGCGCGCCCAGACTAGCCTTACCCCCACCTCATGTTCTTCCCGCAAAAGACTCCGCTCTTCTGCTTCTACCCACCGAGAAGAAGAGATCAAGATTTAAGGCGCCGCGCCCGCAGCGCGGACGAGGGAGGTGAATGCATATGGGGGAAAGTGGCCGCGCGGTTGAAAACGGCAGAAGCTGCTGATTACATCAGGTCTTAGCGTAAAGGGTGGGCGCGGGGTGGAACACGCCGAACGCTGGACACACTGCTATCGAGACCTAGTCGATGCGATATGCAGTCCAGGTGGGGAACGAACATCGTGGGGATGCAGGTAAGAAAGAGAGAATGAGAGTGATAGAGAGGGAGAGGGAGGGAGGGAGCGCGCGCGCGCAAGAGAGAGAGAGAGAGAGAAAGAGTCGGTAAAGCCAGCCAAGTGCGCACTGCTCGCCGCGCATCTGAGCTTACCCAACGCCCACCGACCATTACCGAGTCGATCGACCAATTGGGCGATCTGGTAGCCGCCCACCGATCTGGTGCGCCCGCTACCGCGTCACCCACGCTTTTAAAGAGCGGCCTTCCGCTTCTTCTCTGTAACCGGCACGACAGGGTTGTTGCGATCCTTGTCGTCGATTGTTACCAAGCCTTGCCCTATGCAATTTCGGCGTCGGACGTCAATGTCGGACGGAGGGTACCCTCGGAGGGGGATAACCGATTGGTACGATCTGATTTAACCTGATAAAACTAGGGTATGAAATAATCGTCTGTGAGAGGGCAATATACAGAAGTTTCGCGAGGAAAGTCTGTTTAAATTGCCCTCGAGATTATAAATCGCCGGTTATCGTTAATAGAGTATGATTTCCCAAATCGTCGGCTGTAACGATCGAGACATAGTACACGCACCGGCATAAATGCTGTCCCTATCCTTGTGAGGTGCACGCACACAACTAGAGTCCCTGTAGTTGTGTGCGTGCACCTCACAAGGATAGGGACAGCATTTATGCCGGTGCGTGTACATGGCTGAACGTATTTTGACCAGGAGATAAATCTTCTCTTAGACGAACGACACAATTGCTTTACGTCGTTTTAATCGCGATTCGAGGATAAAGTCATGCACATATATTTGTGTACACATAATTCCAAGAGAATTATTACATATACCTATATTTTCAATCATACTGTCTTGTAAATTCTCAAGACAAATTTTCCACACAGTTGAAAAATTTGTGTTAAACTTAACAGATATCACATGTCCCAAACGGTCCACACAAATTTTTGTGTTAATGTAACATAATATGGATATGTTAAATGATCACACTAATACTCTGGTAATATTTTAACACAAAATAAATGCAAATCTCAAAATAATTTGAAATAAATTTTGTGTAAAACTAATATATTTTTAATGACAAAATAAATTTTTTTAAATGTAATTTTTACATTTCACAGATGTAATAAGTCAAATGACGGTTCGAAATCACTTTCGCTTATGTTATATAGAATAAAATCAACATTTTATTCTGTAAATTTTAACAGATAAATCTTGTTACTAATAATATAGAACGTATGTATTGTGTAAGATTAAAAAATAAGTACACATTGTGTTGTTTTAACATTTCTTTTCAAGTATTTTAATAATTTTACACTTCAGGTCAATTAACACATGAGCAATATATTAAATTAACACGTGAATGTGTTAAACATTTAACACAAAAATTTTAACCGGCATTTTCTTTAACAAGAAAACACCAATTTTCCGACTGTGTATAATAGAAAATATAAACTAACTTTAAATACGTCATATTTATTTTTAGTGTTACTTGTCTTTTTAGAGGATTTGATATTACCATGAATTCTCTTCTGTAGCTTAATTTACAATCACATTCTATCATCACACAATACAATCTATCACATTCAAATGTTAATTTTTATATGAAACCAGAAATGTCTCAACGTATTACGTGGATTAAGTGGATTAAACGTCTAATATTATACGTGGTATAAAGTGGATTAGAAAATATTTACAGTGCCAAAGATATCTGGGATACGATAAGTTGCTCCGATTGAAAACGATCGTTTGTATTATATTTGTGGGGCCCTGGGTTCGATCCCGGGGTTTATCCCGTATTTTCTAATTCTTGAAAGGAAAGATTTTGCCAAATTCATAATTTGTTTGGCAATGTACTATCAATTATCATATACATACATATGTACATATAATTGATACGACCACTTGAGTATGCAATACATACCTGGTTGATACGACCATGTCAGAAATGAGTTCTGTTTGTGATAGCAAATTACCCTTTGGAAACCTTTCTTTTTAAATGCATGATGAACCTCGATATCAAATCTAGGACCCTATCAAGTCCCTTGTAATTGTAGGAAACTCTATATTAGATAAAAATTTAAACAAGATGTACATACGTTTATGTTTGTATGTGCGTGAAGTCGTTTTTATTTGTGTGACAATTGCCTTTATTATTACAAATTAAATTATTCTATAATTTCTAGCTGCCTAATCGAGATAGAGATGTATGTACAGGATATCCCACACGTCTTGCGACGATAATTTTAACGATGTATTTCTGAGCAAACGATAAGACGAAAATTCTAAGGTGAAAATATTGAGAGTATTATGTTTTTCAAATGGAAAGCATTTACAGTAAACAAATCGGGTGGTCTAAAATTTGCACACTCAGAAACGTTGCATCGCACAGCAACGAAGATGTTTTTGCTCTTGAAATAGTCTGTGATATTTCGTGAATATTGACAATTTGTTATATTTATTATTTATCCTGTAGTATTTTGACATTGTTATGATTACCAGCGTGTACAGTAGGTATATTAATTTCCTATGTTCAAATATCAGCAATAATGACAGTAATAATGATTTTGTTAATGATTTCAACATTATTGTACACTTCAATTTCGTAATAAGAGGTCGACAAAGGCACAAGAACATCTTTATCGCTATGCGATGTCTCTGAACGCATAAACCTTAGATTATCTGGTATGTTTACTGCAGGCAGAAAAAAGTTAGTTTAAAATCAAACAAATTTATTTCAATTTTGATCTTACTAGATCTTTATTCAATTTTAAAGAAATGATTTCTTTACCTTAACCGAAATTTTATTTGATTGAGACTGGAATTTCTAAGAGAATTCATTTCTATTTCTTCAAATGTTTTACTAGAAGTAAATAAAAATTTAGTAGATTCAAAGAAATATGATTTCAACGTATCTCATTTGTTTAGCCTAACTAAATCTTTTTTCTAAGTGTGTAAATCTTGTACTGCAATGCTTTCCATTTGAAAAATATTATAGTCTCAACATTTTCGTGTTAAAATTTTTATCCTATTTTGTTCCACAGAAACCTGTCCTTAAAATTACGGTTGCGAGTTGTGGGACATTGTGTATGAAGCGTACGGTCTCGTAATTGTCGCTTATTTGCGTATCGTTGACGCATGTATTGACATCAATTCTTTAAGAAAAATTACTCGGGCGTACCGATCGATTTTAAAAGAGACGCGTATGAATAATAGTTATATACCTATAATTCCATACCCTCTACCTACTTAGCGTACATTACAAATCTATCTTTGAAGTATACCAAAGATAGTTATGTCAATGATGGCACTCATAGTAGTTAGTGCAGATAATTAGCAATGGGAAGAGACAGATACTGATAATAGTAATTTGGAACGGCGAGACCATTTCATACACTCCACTGCTCTCTAAATATAGCAATATATTGGGTCATAACGGAAGTAATACGATTTGTTTCGAGATACTTCTGAGATTAAATGAAAAATTTGACCAAAATTTTAATTTTAATCCAAAATATATATTTTCCCCTATTTACAATTTTTTCTCAATTTTATTTAAAATTTTCAATTTCCTGGTAATAATAGTCTCTCGGTTTTCAACTGAAGAATAAATCATGCTCCCTTTTATACCGAATCATTTACAACTATTTAGTAAAATGTTTAATAACAAAACATTTTCCATGAAACTCGTATCTTTTTTGATTTCGTCCAATTGTTTCACTTAATTTAAAAAAAATAAAATGTCCAAGAGAAATTTATTAAAAGAAATCTAGATCGTTATTACACGAGAATGTAATCGGTACACGCTATGCAAACGCGGTCGTATAATTTTTCTTTTTT